CATCCCGAGTTATTAAAGTGGTTACCCAACACCTGTGATATCAAATATTGATTCCAAAAGTAGTCTAGAGAAGCATCCTCGACAATAGATCGGGTTCAAGTCCCTTGAAAGAGGTGTTGTGGGGGGTGAGAACCCCGCACGGCCTGAACCTAGTCACAACATGAGGCACTTTTGATAAGTAGGATAGTTTGAAAATGCATCCCTAATTAAGCAATAAATTCTATCCAAGACTAAATATGGCGAGAGATCGATATCAAACAAGTATCATGAAGGAAAGATGAGAAGGATTTTAAAAAGAGAGTCAAATGGTGCTTAAAATCGTTAGAAGATAAGCTGATAAGGGTTGACGGTGCACCTCGACTCAAAGTGAATTGACTATGTCTTGTTCGTCGCTCGACTCGAGGTGCTAATCATTTTAGGCCTCCCTAGGAACAAGAGCCTAGGCGATCAACACTTGCGGAGAAATCATCGGTGCAATCGACAAACACACCATGGGTTGATCAAGGAAGCTCTGATGGGCTCTCGCATGCTCGTCGTAATGGCCCATGGGCGCCCTATTCAACCTATCATGAAATACGGGCCAACGAGCCTAGCATGCATGTGAGCCCATGAGTGTCGAAGCCCGGCGAGTGCAAGAAAGATGATGCATTGGATCCTATTTTATGGATGCACCGCTAATACACAAAAATAATATACCATTTTAAGTACCATTTTTATGTCTATTTTTGGTGATATTGCACTTTAAAGAAAAATATTTTTATATTTTTGTTGCATTTATATTATTTTTAGGCATTTGGAGAAAAAAATGGCAAAAGAAACAAAATTTGGAGCAAAACAGCCAATCATGGGATTTGGCGCATCATGCGCCAGCGCTCTGACATGATGCGCCAAAATCCATAGCGCTGATGCATGATATGCCAGGCTCGACATTTTAAATTAAGGCGGTTCAAGATGAATTTTGGGCGATATTTCAAAGGGACACTTGTTCTAAAAATCTCATGGAGTGATTCAATGCATTTAGACACTATGGAAGGTTCCAATTTGAAAGGATTTGACTCTTGGATCAAGAGGCACAGCTTTTGAAATTCAAAGTTTTGACTTTTGAAGTTTAGAGGAAGATTGCAACTCTTTTCAGGGAAAGCAGCCCAAAAGGAGGAGGGACTTCTAGAGTATGACGAGAGGGAGAGAATTGGCATGAGTTAGAGAGAGAGAGAATAGGAGATTTTATTCTAGGGTTATAAGAGGAGAGAGAATGTGAGAGATTTCTTCTTCATTATTCTTCATTACATTTCTTCATTACATTTCTAAGAGAAAATTGAGAGTGATTGTAAAGAGGGAAAGACTTGGAGAGAACTTCTAGGAATTTGCTTGGGAAGGATTGTGAGTTAAGTTGTATTTTTCATTCTTTTGTTTGTAAACTTATTTTTGCATATGGAATCTGTGTTTTATCTTATGATTCTCATGAATTCTGAGTAATCTTATTTATCCTTCTCCCTACTTTGAAGAAATGATTTTGTGAATAATTGATTTTGTTTTCTACAGTTTTAAATGTCAATAATTTGTGATAATTTGAACTCTGATCTTCATTTACTTTTTGATATAGTCAATTGAATTTTAAAAATGTGTTGAGAAATATATGTTCTGAAAAGGGGATATAATTTCTAAAATAAAGAGAAAATCACATTTGATTTCATGGGAGAGTATTTCATCTATGAGATTGGTTACAAATAAATAGGGAAATATACTTGTTGTAAAATTGGAAGATTTTAAAGTGACATATTAGAATCCTCAATTTGGTTCAGTTGATTGGAAACTAATGTGAGCATGTTAGCCCTCAGATGAGGGAGTAGTGGGAGCTCTGGAGTGATAGCTGGTATTCTCCCAACATAACCACAGAATTAAGGACCAAACTCTGGATTAATCAAATTTCTTTATAGCGCTTGAGAGAGACTAGAGAATATGATTGGTCCTATTTGACACAAAACTTTGACACAAAACAGTTTTTAAATATATTTTTCAAATGATTTCAATTTCTTCACAAGCCCTATTTTTATTGTAAAAAGAGGAATGATGTTTTCTCATACTTGAACTTTTCGTCAACAAAACCTTTATTTTATTTCAACAATTTACTTTTGAAAGTTTAGCATCTAGTTTGATTTACTTGTTATAGTCGTACATTTGCATATTTAGTAACATTTCACTTAAGTATTTTAACTTCAAACTTTGTATTTTACTTTGTTTTTTTTAGCTTATAATAGAATATAAATAGCTAGTTTATATAAATTTTCAGCTTCCCTGTGGGATTAATATCTATGACTTCATTAAAGCCCTGTATTACTTCAACGATACATATACTTGCGTTATATGTAAAAGGGAATTGAGACTTTAGTAAAAGGAATTGAGACTTTAAAAGAGGTTTTAAAGATAAATTATTTTCATTAAAGTTACATTATTGTTTGGATTACATTGCATCATCATTATTAATTTAATATCACTTTTTCTGAATCCCGCATCAACCGCCGACCGACCCAGATCTTATTTGAAGGGTTCGAGCGGGAGCATACATACCGCGACTCGAAACATGAAGAACTCTTACTCAATTTGGTGAAGTCATAGGACTTGTGGTGGAGGTCCGCAGTGATATCGATGTGCAAATCGTTAATTTAAATCGGGTATAAGGGAGAAGGAATAATCAAACCAACTAGTAGGTGGTTCCCTCTGAAGTTTCTCCCAATATAACTGGAGCTCCGGACGGAGTTATATAGAGTAAACCCACAGATTAGGAGCATCGGGGGCACAACTTTGTTGAGCTATTCTCAGACAATAAATCGACGGAATGGCTAGGCTGATTCGATGAGCCATGCCATGAGATTGAGGGATCCAAGCAGGCATTTGTTGGTAAGCATAATTGCTGATGCGAGATGAACCAAAAGCCGAGTTACTGTGCGCTAACTCAAACCCCAAAAAGGATATTGGTTAATTAAAACTTCAGGACGATGGTTATGGAAGCTGAAATACACTAAGAATTTTGTAACAACTTACATGCCAAAAAAAGTTGCCCTGAAAATGGTTGATGACGCTTAAATGCACGACACACACCCAACCATTGGGGCAATGACAAAACCCGGAAGCGTAGGAGAGTGTGAAAACTATCGTAAAATTTGGGGCACGATCTTCTTTAGAGTGATAGTTGGTGCATATCTTTGTGGTAGTAGCAAATATTCAAATGATAGATTTGAAGGCGGAAGGGGAAAATGTTCCATATGAACTACACTTGTATATGTGTTAGTCGATCCTAAGAAACGGGGGAGGCTCAGCAAAGATCAAGCCTTCGTGTGAGCTTAGAAAGGGAGTTGGGTTAAAATTCCCAAGCGGGATGTGGAAACTGAAGTCAATGTTAGGTAGTCCAGAGACGCCGTGGGGGGGTGGGGGTTGGGAAAAGTTATTTTTTCTGCTTGACAGCCTGTCAGCCTTACAAACAAATCAGTCAGAGGCAGGGTCCCGTAACTAGAAGAGCACCTCATGTTAAAAGGTGTCTGGTGCGCCTTTAGTGGCCCTTGAAAATCTAGAGGCTCGAGTGCCATTAATGTCTGGTTGTACTCATAACCACATAAGATCTCCAAGGTGAAAACCTCTTGTCGGTGGAGCGATGTAGGCAAAGGAAGTTGACAAAATGGATTTGTAACTTCAAGAAAAGGATTGACTTTGAGGGTTGAGCATAAGGGTCCCAGCCCCGAATCCTTCGGCTATCAACGTACTGGTTGAGCTGCACCTACAAGGAGAGTGACTCGCTGTGTACGGGCTAGGGGATAGATTGGGAACGACTCCCCTCGGGGCCTTGCCCGGATGTCAAACAACCCACTAAATACTAGTACTGTTAAGAGGAATCCAACATTTTAATTCAAATAAAACATTGTGTTGGTCTCATCGAATGCTCACGCAATGATTTTTGCCACATGATTTGAATGTTAAAGTGATGAAATTCAATCAAGCGCGGGTAAATGGTGGGAGCAACTATGACTCTCTTAGGATAACCAAATGCCTCATCATCTAATGAGTAATACAAAACAATGGATTAATGAGATTCTCACTGCCCATATATATCATTGTGAGCAGAATTCAGAAAGTGTTGGATTGTTACCCATTAATTAGTGGTAGTTGTCTCGGATGTCTCGTTATCTCATTTATGTCGAACAATTCAAACTTGAATCATTCGATCATCTCTTCACATTCCTCGTGGCTCGATTGACTCTGACTTTACTCACTTTGGCTTAGATAGTTGCACTATATCAAATAAGTGGGCCTCACGTTCTTCTATTGGCGTGCATTCCCTCATTGTACTTTCTTCCTCTAGACCATTGCATCTGCTCAGGATCAGTACCAACATATTTTTTATGCACAAAATCAAATGATTTTTTTATAAAAAATTAAGTACTCATTTAAACTTTTTAGCCTTTTAATTAATAGAAATAAGTCAGGCAAATAAAATATGAGCATTGAAAATTTGAATGAACCTAAATATAGACATACTTTTGAACCTCATTTCAAGCTCGAACTTAACATGAACAACTTGTGATTCGATCGAGCTAGTTTCAAATCATGACATACTCAGGTTCAAATTGGCCCAATCACAGCCCAAATTGTGCTTTAGTAATTAAAAAAAAATCAATAAATGCTAGCTTAATAAGTATCCATATGTTTATTCCAAAAATTTTATCCATCAACTTGCCTACCAACTCCCCCGGGTAGTACCACACAGGAATACAACCCAATCAAAACCATCTATCCCGCATACGGAACCGTCTCCACCATTTATCATGGATGATACACCCGCGGCCACGTGATTCAGGTGCGTAACTCACAGCCATCTCCCTACAAATCAAAACCAGTCTCCATAAAAATTCATCACGTGACACTCACGTGACTCCAAAACTCCAAACCTTCCCCCCGGCCATACCCAACTATATAATAATCTAATAATAAATATATTCAAGGCCAACCTCCCTCTCATTATTACTATAATTATTCTGACCAGTTACAGTGAGAAAAGAGCTGAAAAACAAAGGAGAAGAAGAAGAAGAAGATGGGCGAGGCCGAACCACTGTTGCACTTCCTCTTCGTTTCCTTCCCCGGGCAAGGCCACGTAAACCCGCTCCTTCGAATGGCGAAACGGATCGCAGCCAAGGGGCCACTTGTGACATTCTCCACCACGCTCGATTTCGGCCGCCGCATCAAAGCGGCCTCCAATGGCTCCACCGCATCCGCCTACGAAGCCGACGCCATCCCTATCGGCCACGGTTTCCTCCGCTTTGAGTTCTTCCACGATGGCGCCGATCCAGACGACCCGAAGCGAGACGATCTGGATGTTCTCATGGCCCGACTGGACTCCAACGGCCCTCCTTCTCTAACCCATCTCATCAACCTCCAGGCACACTCCGGCCGCCCCGTTTCCTGTCTCGTCAACAACCCCTTCCTCCCCTGGGCTCTCGATGTCGCCGCCCAGCTCCGCATCCCAAGTGCCGTACTCTGGGTTCAGTCCTGCGCCGTCTTCTCCACATACTACCACTTCCACCACCGCCTCGCCCACTTTCCCACCGACGAAAACCCGGACCTGACAATCCACCTGCCAGGCCTCCCGCCCATGGGGCCCCAAGACCTCCCCACTTTTCTTCTCCCCTCCAACCCCTACAAGCCCCTCACCAAAGTCATCCTGGCACAATTCCACAACATCTCCCGGGCCCGATGGGTGTTCGCCAACTCATTTGAGGAGCTCGAGAGGGACGCTTTCAAGGCTATAGCCGAGCTGTTGCCGGTGATACCTGTCGGTCCCCTCGTCGACGCTGGCGAGCCTCAGGAGAAGGTTAGAGCTGATATATGGAAGGCTGCCGACCATTGCCTCGACTGGCTCGACAAGCATGAACGGAGATCTGTTGTCTACATCTCGGCTGGTAGTATCGTCATGCTTAGCTCCGAAGAGATGCAGGAGCTGGCTCATGGGTTTAAGAATTCCGGCCGCCCCTTCCTCTGGGTGGTACTGTCCTACATTTATAGTAATTAACATGTATGCAGCGTGACAATTACAGAAATGTTTGATAAATTGGTATTAATTTCGCTTACAGGTGAGGGAGAATCTTCGGGAGCTGCTCCCAGAAGGATACGAGAAGGAGATTGAAGCAGAGGGAAAGGGCTTGCTCGTGGGCTGGAGTCCGCAGGAGCAGGTATTGGCTCATCCGGCCATCGCCTGCTTCGTCACACACTGCGGCTGGAACTCTACGTTGGAGCTCATAGCCGCCGGTGTGCCGGTGGTTGCATACCCGCAGTGGGGGGACCAGGTTCCCGACGCCAAGTTCCTCTGTGACGTCTACGGCGTCGGCATTCGGCTGCCCGGCGCCGGAGGCGCGGGGGGG